GGAGAAGAGCTCAGGACCTCCCTCTCCCCTTCCCCTCCTCAGAAAGCTGTGGAGTGCAGTGAGGTCACCCCTCAGCCTCCTTGGCTCCAAACAACACAAGCCCAAAGCCCTCAGCTGCTCCTCATGGGACATTCCCTTCTGGTCCTTTCACTGGTTTTGTTGCTGTCCTCTGGATGCAAACAAGAACCTTCACATCCTTCTTAAATTGTGGAGCCCAGAACTGCCCAAGTACTCAAGGTGAGGCTGCACCAATGCTGAATTCAGTGGGACAACCACCTTTCTCCACAGGCTGATGATGCTGTTTGAGGCACCCCAGGGTGCAGTTTGCCCTCCTGGCTGCCAGGGCACACCCTGCTGACTCAGACTGAGCTGCTGCCAACCAGCAGCCCCAGGTGACCAGTGGCCAGCCAGGTGTAGCCCAAATCAGTCCAGTCCTCTGAGCTCTGCCCTTCAGCCAGTTCTTCACCCAGCGCACCCTGAACCCACTCATCTCACAGCTGGACAGCTTTTCCAGAAAGATGCTGGGAGGGGCAGTATCAAAAGCCTCCCTAGAATCCAGAAAAATTGCACCCACCATCTTCCCTTCATCCACTGGGCAGGTGACCTTATCAGAGTAGGATGTCTAATGAATTAAATCAGATTTTCCTTTGTGAACCCATTTTAATTGTGTCTGATGAGTGCATTATTCTTCAAATGCCTTTCAATAGTACCCAGTAGAATCTGGTACTCCATAATGGTTGCAGGTACTGAGGTTAGAAGACAGATTAATAAGTCTGTAGTTCATGGGGTCTTCCCTCACACTATTTTTTGTAGGAGGATGTGGAATAACATTGGCCTGCTTCAGTCAGCAGGCACCTCCCCAGACTCCCAAGACCTTTGGTACCTGATCAAGAGAGGTCCTGCCATAACTTTACTAGCTCCTCAAAATTCTGAGATGAATTCCATCAGGCCCCATGGACCTGAGAACATTCAGCTGATACAGCTGGGCCCTTACAGTTTCAACCTCCATAAACGCAAAGTCACTGTTCTCACACTCATGGTCCTTTTGCTAAAGGGGCCAGGCAGCCTGAGGCTGTACTGTTAAATTATCAGTATTATTAATGACTGAGGCAAAAGAGACATCAAATGCCCCCACTTCTACTTTATCCCTGTTATTCAAGTGACCACCTTCAAAAAGTACTATTCTTCAACTTCTTAATATTTACCTTAATATATACTTCGTAGTATAAGGTATTTGGTAAACAGCGGACAGTGAAGCCTAATTTTAGGTTAGCAAAACATTTAAATTATGAAGGTAAGTTCCCAGAAAAAGAGAGCATGAAGATAAATCTGAAAAGCATAAACTAACTGAAAGTTGATGGCCATGTGCTCATGGGGAACTGGGGGGACAACATTAAAAAAATTTTTAAAACTACACCATGGCATGTTTCACAAGGTAAGAAGGTACTGACTAGTAGGAGAAGTAGGTATGCTTGGAACATTAAAGCACCAAGACTCAAAAAAATTTCAACTGAACACAGCTTAGGAAGTCAAAAGCATATATGATGGCAAAATTCAGAGGATATAACAAAGAGCAGAGTATGACAGATTGGAAAAGCAGACTTCTAGTTTCACACGACCATTAGCAAAATGGAAAAGGTTTATCTGGTCTGTAAACATCTCTTTTTTTTCTACCAGTTTCTGAAAATAAATGTGTTTGAGTACAATGGCTTGCAGTGAAAACACTGGCATCATAGTGAGTAACAATGTTGCTTAATTGAAAAAATTTTACACAAAACATGACTATTTTAGCTTTTTACAAAAGTTTTCAACTGTTCTCCAACTGATTTAAACATCAAATTAGCTTCCAATTAGTTTGCCACAGTAAACCACTATAAACCCTTTTCTAAATGCACATCCATAGCATTAGGCCATGTCGGCTGGTACAAAATTCTTACCTTATGCATTAGTTCAATTTCATACCCTAGTTGTGCAAGTACAGTGAGTGCTTGATAAATCTTCGAATTCCCAGGCTTTGCTGTTAATATCTAAAAAAAATGGCAAAGAGCAAACATTGTTGTTGCAGAAACCAAGACTGTCTTTATCTAAGTAATGTCTAAAAGACATTGTAATATTGCAAGTATTTCTTCACAGCAGTTATTTGGATAACTGAACTATGTGTGAATCTCCAGCATATATACTCTGTGGTCCCTTTTAAGGCAGCAAAGTTTCACATAGAAGAGAAATAAGGATCAGATTTCATATATAAATGGTAACTTCAGTTGAGTTATCAGCTTGCACTGATAAGATAATATTACCAAGAAGACACACAAAGCATAGTAAGTAAAACATCAGGTGACCTCACTGAACATTAAGCAACTTGCACAGCCATCATCCTGATCAATGTCAGGATCAAACAAATCAAACAACTCTTAGGGCAAGAAAAAAATAAAAGCTTGTGATTATTCTCACGAAAGACAAGGAAAGAAGTAAATTGTCGTAGGGAGATTTAACTTCATGTAATAGATTTACACAGCCTTGTCATACGATAAAAAGCAAAAACAACCAACAAAAAGGAGTCAACAATGCCTGCTTAAAAAAGGTTCCAATAGCTTTTACTACACAACTCTTATGTAACAGAGTTCACATTATAACCAGAAAATAAAATAAAAAAATATAAACATGAAACAGAGTCTGCCTAAAATGAATAGGCTGCCCTTTATTTAGTTAAAAATCTTACCATTAAAACATAATATAAAAGTGGATATTTCAGTGGTGTCCAACTTGTCATTTCACAGAAGAATATACTTAAAGCGTTTAATTTTTTTCAGTGGGGTGTTAGACACAACACTGGTTGTGTTAGCAGACCTGGAAGTCCTTGTCTACTTCAAGTAATTAAAGGTTTATGACTCTGTACAAACCTCCCAGTTTTGGGGCGGGGGGACAAGGGAAAAAAGGCATCCTTGTAGTGTAAGTACAGTTCTAGAACTTTGGGACAGCATAAATTAGGAATATGTAATCGGGAAAAGGTCCTGCACTTTAGTTAACAGGGCATTAATGAAAAGGACTGTAAATCATTATATTTTGCCTCTATTCTTTTCAGTACTGCATACAAAACAACTCAAGAGGACAAGTGCATCTCACTGTATTGGTATTTAGTGACTCGGAATCCTCTTCACTTGTGTATTGGTGTTTTGAATTCAGTCTTCCTTAACTATTACCTGTAACTAGTAAACAAACTTGTTGCAAAAGCATGGCACAGAATTTAATCACCTCACAATTTACAATGGAAAACAGCTAGTCTGCTGTTGCATATACTTCTCAAGGACCAGACTTCACATTTGTAATATCTGTGGTTATATGACAACAGAATGTTTCTTAACAGTGCTATCACTGCATGAAGCAAACAAGTAGGAAACTGACAATACTTAAAAATTGGGGTAGAAAAAATTTTGCTAGCAAAAACCTTAAGTATACAATACAAATGGGTTTTTGTTCTCTGAAGCACTGCACCTTCATTACCTGTAAAATGCCTTGCACGTACCGTGTACTCTTTTTCACTTATAAAGAGGTTGAGTTCTACTCTTCCGTATCTGTATATGGAGCTGCATTCATACATGGCAAAAAGAAGTCTCCAAAGTCTGTTTCTTTCCAATGGTTGTGGAACAATTCCGAAAACTTTCAAAGGAACATCTGTTTCACACAATAGCAAAGGTATCTTTAAGATTTTGCGGTATGTATTAGACAGTCTCATTAATTCTAATGTCTAAACTACAAACAATTAAGAGAAGATAGTCTGTGAATTTATGTTGTTCAAGAACGAATACCATACAAGCCTTAGTCAAAGCTAAGCCTAGTTTGCATTAGACTAAAACTTTAAATGTCAAGAAAATACCTAATTATCTGATATTGTCATGGGGGGAAGGGAAGGAGGCGTTCTGAAGCTATCATGACTCTTAAGAGAAGCTGAAATGTATAAAACAGTATCCATTAATCCAGCATGTGTATTAAACAGAACATATACCTCAAGCAAATCCCAAAGATTTTGCCAAACTGCCTATGCATGCTTCAAACATGTGTTTGTAACATGTGAGATCATAAACATATACCTGCCCTCCAAGGAACTGCTGCTACGCCCATGGTTTCAAAAAGTTTGTCAGAAGACAAAGCAGGTGGTTTCAAAGCTCCCTTTGCCAAAGGATCCAGTCTGAAGAAGTCACCATGAATCACCTTTAACTGCCCATCCAGGCTATCCTCTAGGGACTGAATAAAAATAACTTTAGTTGAAGAAATCTGGATACGGTAACTAGTTTTGCAAAACATCTAACCCAAACAAAAAATGTGCTCATGCATTACCTAAAATTGTTACCCGATCCACAAGAGTCAAACCCCAGAGCTGCTTCTTACAGCTAATAAAAATAATAGCTTCTTTCTTTCAGCTGATAAAAATAATTGCCCCCTTCACTGTGCAGGGCATTTTGACATTTCTTTGTGCTGTTCAACTTGAGCTTTAAACCACATTCTTAAACTAGTAAGATGTTCTGCAATGTTTCTAAGAAAACAAACAACTATACTCAACTAAACAAACCACTTATTTTAACAATTTAAAGCTAGAATTCTTCATATCTGTGGAGAGGATACCTTTCATACACATTTTAAGTCAGGTGAGAGTCACTGGTTTCAAACCAGCACTATAATGCAAACCTTCTAGAGCAACTTGTGCAGCTCTGTCTCTGACCCCCTTTGAATCCATGCAAAGCCCAGAGAAGCAGGAGAGGACAACACATGTAAATATCAATTGTAGGACAATAGATTAAATAAAACAGTGAGATAATCAGAATAACTAAGAGTATTTTTACAGATTTCTTACAGCTTCCTACAGAACTCTTGCTTAAACATAAACATCTACAATGACTCCGATTAGTTTCAAATTTATGCATAGAAAGACCGTGTATGAACTTGAATTCCCACATACACAAAATGGCAAAATTAAAAAACATTCTGCATTTGTGATGTACAGTACCAAACTACATACTGTTATTACACATTATGTCAGATGTTACAATCACTGCCTAATACCTTTTTGATCCAACAATTACATAACAATTTAAGCTAATTTCTCATTTTCCCTTTAATTTTTAGAAACGTGAAACTGAATCAAAAGTATACCTGTAAATCTGTAAAAAAATCTGAGTTACTTTCCAGAGCTACCACTCTAAAACCCGCATCAAGCAGAGATCGAGTCAAAATTCCAGGACCTGAAATAGGAAAATAAAAAATAAATAAAATTTAAATAAATAAATTTTAAAGTGCCTCCTTGTTTCTAAGTGATTTCCTTTAGTGACTTCCCCAACACAACACTCAGGACATATCACCTTCAACATGAGATAGCTTGTGCTTGTTAAACACACTTCAAAACAAGAGTTAGAGAAATGATTTACAAGCAGCCTGCCCGAGATTTCTCACTGTATTACACTAATAACAGCATTAAAATTAGATACTGACCAGCGCTGGAAATAACGTTTCAAATATTTCTATTATTTTTTTTCTTCTGCCAACTGTAGTATACTGTGAAACCTTACCCATATTATCCCTAAAATACATTCTGCAGAAATGTAAACAAAAAAACCCAAACCTCAATCATTAGGTAACTGCAGAGGTTTTGCCATAGCCCGTAATCCTGGATGTGCTGTTACTGATAAAGTTCACCCACAAAATCAAAGTACTACCTAACAGAAAATGACATCTCTAGTCACTCTACAGCAAAGTTTTAGCACGAGTGACTCAAGCCTGCAGACGGCACCCTCACTCACTGCCCAAGCTCAGCATAAATGGACCCCCTCAGGCACACTCCGGGGCCCGCACCCACGTGTCCGGGGAAGGTGCCGGGCCGCGGGTCCGGGACAGCTGCCAGCCGGGGCAGCGCCGGAGCACAACGCAGCTGCCGCCCCCGCCAGAAATCCCGGGAGAGGCCGAGCTCCAGCCCCTTCCCGCAGCAGCACCACAACCAGCGCTTGGCGGGGCC